GAATTTACTTATTGATTATTCTCATGCACTGGTAAATATTAATATAAAAAATTGGGTTTTGATACCCTTGGTGGGCAGAACACTAATACTTCATTGTGTAGCTTTGTGCTTAACATAATGGTAATAGTTAAATTACTTGGATAGCTGGAATAATCAAAATAGTAATAATTGGAAACCCTAATCTCTTTTCATGAGTTGTAACACTTTGATTAAGCTGAGCAAACTTAAATTAAATGAAAATAACAATAAAAGATCATAATGGCAATAATCAAAAACAATAATTTTGATTAGTTGATTTTGAATGCCGGATAGTTGGAATAATTTAAAACACTAATGTAATTAATTATATTGATTAATTAAGTTTAAGTTTTATACTTCTTTTCTAGAGCTGATATTAACAAGCTTGAAATTTATTGGTATTAATTGTGAGTATGGGATGTCGAGCAGTTTTACAATAACCACGTTTCAATAAATATATTTTGTATAAAGTTGTTAAACTCTTGCATTTGATTACAACTGACAACCATATCAGTATTATTACATTATCACTGTTATAGTGTGGTACCATGTGTAACAATGTTAAAAAAAGATCTGCTAAAACTAAACTCTCTTGCAATATTGTTAGAATAATATTAAAATAGAACAATACAGTATGACAGCTGGTTTAGGTTATCATGTCATAAACATTTATAATTTAGTATTTAGTTTATTATCATTACAACTCAGTATCATTTGTTAATGTTTCCAGGGGTAAGTAGCTGTTGTTGCTACATGGTCTAGACTAGAGCCATACACCATCTGATATTGTTACCTTGTCCCTGCTAAAGCTGTGTACTATCAGTTAACATTGTAAGGTTAGTACTGCTGTATTTTAACACCACTCAGTAATATTATCATATCTGGTACACATTAATTCTTTTCTATAACATTGTCAGATTTCTTATACTACAGCTCATTATTACTTAATAACCTTTCTGGACAAATTCAATTTTAAAGAAGTAATAAAACAATCTCAAAAGTTTTAACAAAGAAATTATTGATTTAGTTTCAGTAATAATCAGACATCTATTTTCTGTAATGTCACTAAGAAGCTTATGTACTTTGCCACAGAAATAGAACGTACCTTCAGGATAGTTCATATTACAGAGCCAAAATATATTGTAACTAGTACTATAGAAATCAGTGGTTATCAATCATCAATCTGACAACCAGCAACAATCCACTGGGAGATTTTTTGCTGGACCACAAAATGGATGGAAAAAAAAAATGTTTTAAAATATAGCTACTTCAGCATATTGACAAACCAATATTTAAAAGCACTGAGAAGTTAATATTGTACAAAGAGGTCTGTGAAATTTTAGGATCAGAACTAGGAGGTCCTCATTTGGAAAAAGATTGAGAACTACTGCACTATATGCAACCCTTTAAATAACAACAATCAGATGTGAAAATATCTTGAATTAAATAAGTATAACATTTTTTCAAAGTTATAACAATCTCAAACTCAAAGAAATACAACTCTGTATTTAAAATGAAGAAATTACTTTTTTAAACAGGATACAAACACAGAGATTTGTGAAAACTTAATATACATAACTGTGACTATATCAACAGTGTACAAATACTATTAAAACACCCAAATGGGGAAAAAAGCTCGTACCTTTAGATAAGCATGTACTTAACAGAGAAAATGCAACACTTCGAGATGCTGAACTTCTTCCAAAGCACACAGACTAGATTAAATATTATTAATAGTTTTTACTACAGTAACTTAAGATGTTTATTTTAATTAATGCAAGTGTTTAAACTAAAACCTAGTGACCTATATTCTAATGTAAAAAATAAAACTAAGTAAATGATACATTGTACTCGATAAAGTTATAAATTTATACACGTGTAGCTAACACAGTGACAAAATAAGTAGTATTATGTTTAAGACATGTCACAAGTAGTTCACCGATACTTTTAGCAACCTGAACATTAAGGTGCAAATCAAATTTCAGTTTTCTTCGATCTCACCCTCAAAGTATTTTTATTTTTGGTGTAAAACTACTGCTGAAAACCTCATTCTAATCCATTAATATTTACAGCTTCTTCATGAACCCATTTTCATGTACTACAATATATTTAAGCCCATGATGGCCTATTGCTAGTATTATTGAATAAGTTTCTCCAAATTATGTATATAAAGTACACAAGTTTGTATTGCTGATGGTTTTCCTTTTCAGGTCAAAATGGCAAGTACTAGCAGAAATGTGCCAAAAAGAACTGTTTGTTTGATGAGAGGGATGTTTGTTACCATAACCAGATGCAAACTTCCAAACTTTTTTTTTCATTTGCACTCCAGAATACTATGGCAATAGAGATCATTCATTTCTGGAAGAAAGCAAAATTACCACATCATAAACAATATCAAAAACCTCCACTCTTTAAGTTAAGATGCCTCGAGAAAGAAAGAGATGAAACATGGAAAAGAGAATGCCTTTGTCAATATCCTCATTGCCCTGTTCGACATGATGCATGTCAATGCTTTAACCATGATGTAAAGGGCTGAGGACGGAGTTTCTACTGGTTCATAGAGAGAAAAGAAGACAAGCAATGACATAGAGTCCAGAAAGAGGAAAATGCTGTGCAATCAATGACAGAATCAATAACAGTGCATCTTATTAGCAGTAGTAGTGCAGAAAGTGAAGCCACCAGTGCCAGTAATGAGAACACTTTGTTTGCTACACTGTCCTCCTCTAAAAAAGATAAGATGCATCAAACCTACAAACATAGCCAGCCCTGAACAAATATCAGTAACAGAAAAGCCATCTATATCCTGGTGACCACTGCACAATCCCCTGAAACCTGCTCTTAACAAGGATCAATAAGGAAGACTCAGTAGCAGCATTGGAAGACCATCACCAAAAACATCCCACTGACAGTACACACTGGGATGGTAAGATGCTGCCAGTCTTGACACTAAAGGTGTTCATGGACTGAATTGCAGTTCTCATATCAGGGATAGGGAGTTACAAAACTCTTGGATGTCCTGAAGTTACCTAACGGTACTGACGAGTCACAAGTGATTGCAGTATGAAACCTTGCTGAATGTGTGTAGCTCCTGTCCTTTGGTATGACTGCCATCAACATGGGACTCAGGACTGGTACATGCATCATACTGGAGAAAAAGTTCAAGGAAGATCTAAATTTGGCTTGCAGGCACCATAGCCCTGAACTCACAGTCTCAAGGGTGTTTGATATGCTATTGGAACTATCACATGGACCGAGCATCAAATTCATGGAAATCAGTCGACAAATGAGCATATGAAAATAGAATTAAAAATGAACCTATTGCTTTGGAATGAGAGCTACTTAAGGACAACCAGAACATTTTTATCCATTGTCAGCTGTCTGATTTATGCCCCCAGGATGGCTACAGAGAGTTACTAAAACTTGTTCTGCTCTTTTTAAGAGAAGAACCTGCAGAAAGTGTACACATCCTTACTTATGGGGCTTACTTCAAGTACTAGGTAGATAGCTCATACATTTCTTCAAGGTCTACTTGTTCCACTTTCAATTCCAGCATATTGCTCATGAACTCTCGGTTCTTTATGATTTGACTGAATCTGAAGGGACTGTCCATCTTTCAGTGTCACATTTGCCCCAAGAAATGATTTGAAGCTGTTGTCTCTCAAGTCACCTGTAGTACTTGAACAAAACACTAATTGAGCTGGCATTTTTTTATTCCAATGTCCCTGAAGATATAAAATTAGCAAAGGTAACAACCCTGGAACAGGAAGGACATAACTATCCTTTTTTGGCATATCCACCTTGACAAAAAGCCTGTGCCAAAAAAATCAATTCTACAAAAATTTACTAAAAACAGTTTAGTTGCCTCTTACTGTAAAAACTCAGTGATACACTGGAAGTCCAAGTCTTTACTTTTTGGTTCTTAGTTGAAATTTGTTTTTTTTATCAGTCTTCAATTGTACATTTACAAGTTCTACCTCTAAACAATAGAACTCTTCACTCTCACCTATACAAATTTTTTCCCTTTCAAATGTGCAATGGGTTGATGGTAGAAGAACTAAAAGTAGTATAAACTCTCACTATCACGTGTATAAATAAAGAATTCTGCCAGTGTCCAATTTTAATTTTATGTACATTATGAAAAACAGAAATACATGTTTTGATATTTCATTAATAGATTGAAACTGGTAAACTATGGGTAGGTTGATAGGAATACCTCATCTTGGCAGTACAAAATTCTACACTCTCACGCCAGTGGTCTGTGGGGGGGGGGGGATATAAGGAAGAACTTTTCATACTTTCAAGTTTTAGATTGTACTTCTTCCAACTTTTTTTTTATTAGGGCCTCTAAATGTTTCCTAAACCTCTGGCAATGCAAAGGTTCTCTCAAAGGACCCATGTTAAAGTTGCAGTAGTTACATTTAAAGGGCTTGTTTGTGCAGTTATAACTCCTATTGCACATAAATTCTTTAGTCACACCACTTAAAGTATTAAATTTATGTTAGTGTGTATATTGAAGCTGTTGAATGTAAATGTATTATAATTGAGGTACTATAGTAGTATAATGAAGCTGTGATTGTAAGAATGATAACTTCGAGGCATCTGTTATCAAAGCAACCACATCATCAACATTTATACTACATAATATACATTGGTTTGATTTCTTTTGACTTTCATTTTCTTTGAGCCTGGGACACCATCTTTATGAAACTCGGATTTGACCTCTAAGTAAAGCTCTCTCTGATTGGATAAAATTACCCCTTCTGTGTCTCAATAAAAAGTTCCAGTGTTAAAAAATAAATAACCTTAGACATGTGCAGGATGCGTATTCTACACCAGTGATGCAGTATAAACATATGGTAAAGGCAAACAGGAAATTAAACCACAAACATATTAAAATGTGTTGACAATTCATTGGGTAATCTTAGTATTACATATTTATTCATGTTTGTAAATTGCTATTCTCAATGAAGATGACAAACAACTTCACATGAAAGTTAATTTATTCAACCCGATGTTTCAGCTTACACATTTTTCAAGGGTCATTGAATGTCACAGGTATCAAACCGATTTTAAATTAAAGTAACCAATAAGAAAATAGAACTACAACAATATTAAGGAACAGTAAATGAGAAGCATGCTAGAAGTAATGGTAAAAGTTAAAAATTTAAGAAAAAGTATTATAAGGGGGGGCCAGGCATTGTATTGTACCTACTAATGGAAGGGCATCTGGATTGAATCAAAAGAGATTCCTTGAATTTTCTGTCATGAAAATTGTCCAAAGTTTAAAATTTTCATTCGGTAAAGTCTCTCATTGATTGTGCTGTGTGCTTTTATGTGATGTTCAGCAGTGACTTTTGTTGTCAAGATTACCTTAAAGAGTAATAATGAATTGATATTCACTTTTGTGGCAAATTAAAGGTGATTTAGATTTGCCACATTGAGTTTAGTTTCACATTTCCAAGTGTGGCAATCAGCTAGCGTGAGCAGAGTGAAATCTACATTTTAAAAGCCCAGTGTTTTTTTAGCAAGTTAATCCTACAGGTATACAACACTTTATATCACATTCCTATTTGGAGGTGACTGAGTACTTTATTGGTAGTAATAGCGTTCCATATACAAATTTACAAACTAGGGTTAGCCCACTGTAATGTTTATTGGTTGTTTTTTTGCTAAAATTTTAATCAGCAAGTACTTTTTTTTTATGCACAGTTGTCTATTTGTAGTCAATATATGTATATCTGTGTTAAACATTACACTTATGCAGTAGAAAAATATATTAACTTAAGAAAATTTCAATTCCTTTAAGTGTAGCTAACATTATATCTAACATCTATCTATATTCTGGTTCTTATTGAATGCTAATTTGCACAAAGTAGCATTAATAACCTAATATGTATGATCAGAGATTATGAGCAACACATTCATGGTCTATATGGAAATCCTCAAGTGCTTTATATATATATTCAACTACACTTTCTTATATCCATTGATCTGGACTGCAGGAAAGGGGAATTGCATTACTGACAGCACAATGAAGTTATCTGACTTTTGTAAAAGATATTTACTGCTAACTGTAAATAGGCTTGATAAATATGGAGAGTTATAAGGTTTACTTTTACCAAAAACCCTTGTCATGTTGATTTTATTTTCACCGTATTAACCTATTGATTTTTGCCTGTGAACTTATCTATCTTCTATTTTTGTCAACGATGCATTCAATAACTACAATAACACTGACTGAAATTTAGACACCAGGATTAGCACAAGACCATGATACAATGAACATAAAATATAATGTTTCCTTTCAATTCATGGCTTACTGTAGATTCAAGAAATCATGTCATTATGATACAAATAGTTACGGTTGGTTTGGATGTTTGGTGTTCACAGTACTATTTTGCACTATCCAACCATTTCTAGTCCATATACTTTGGAGCACACTGACCACCTGAAGAAAGAGGAAAATACAAATATACAATTAGATTATTTGCAATAAATGATCAAAAGGAGAGGACTGATGGAATGAAAAAATGGTATTTATGTACCTGTGTATACATGGCATTCATTAAATTGATGTCATTATAATAACGACATGTACCTTCCAAACTTCTTCAGTACATTATCAGTGAAAGTTTCTGTTAATGAGGCCAACAACACTAGCAGTATAATTTTCCAAACAATCAACAATACAGGTGTTAATAATGATCAGACTGTAGTTGAAGAGAAAGATGTGATTCTTTCACATAACAGTCATAAGTGGTATAAAGTTACCTTCTTATTCAATTTTACTTTTGTAATTTTTGTCTTGACATACAACACAATTTATATAAGACTAAACACAGACCTTTAGTCACATTTTAACATAACATAACGTTTTGGGGCAACATGGGACCTATTGGTCCATCTCGGCTGTTCAATCCTTTACACTAAGTTAAATAATTTTTTAAAAAATCTTAAAACCAGCCCTTATTATTCATATACTTAACAAGCTTTTTCTTAAACTCACTGAACTTTACTGCCTCTATAACATCTGAAGGCAATCCATTCCAAAGGCCAACCACCCTGTTAGGAAAATGAAACTGTCTTGGCTGAAAATGACTCCTACACTGCCAAAATTTATATTTGTGTCCCCTAGTCCTACTATTCTCACTGTTAAATATGAAAAACAATGATGCATCAACACTATCAATTCCCTTTAGAATCTTAAACACTTCAATTGGATTACTCTAACTCTTCTTTTTTTCAAGGGAAAACAATTTGAAAGATTTCAGTCTATCCTCGTATGACAAACCCTCCATCCCAAGCACCATTCTAGTAACCTTTGTCTGAACCCTTTCCAACAATTCAATGTCTTTCCTAAGGTAAGGAGTCCAAGACTATACACAATGTTCCAAATGTGGCCTAACCAGTGACTTGTACAATGAAATTATAACCTCTTTAGACTTGTATTCAATATTTCTGTATATACAACCTAAAATCCTATTTGCTCTACCATTAGCAACAGCACACTGCTTGGATGGCTTTAGAGACTGATCGACTATTATGCCAAGATCCCTTTCTTTCATAACACTGTTAAGGTTATTCCTATCCAAATTATACTTATAATTCAGATAAGACCATGATACATAAAATATTTTGACAAAAGAAAAGGAGATTTGATTTAAATAATGTAAATCTGTTTTTTTATCTTCTACACCACATCACCTATGCTCTTTAAACACACTTTTCAGACAAAATATTTATGATTTCTTTTACCTCTCTATTACCTTCTGGAACCAAATCCATAGGCAGTTTGTTATTTTTGTCTTTCACTTGAGTCATAGCTCCATTGGCTATTAGAATTTTCACTAGCTCCAAGTGTGTTGTGCTATTTGACAAGCTATCTTTTGCTGCCAAGTGAAGTGCTGATTGCCCATTTACATCTTGAATGTTGATAGCTTCTTTGGGACATTCTGGAGAATGTTTGTTGAACAGCTGAAAGTAAACATAATGCACTATTAAAAATAATCTTTGTTGAAATAACTTTATTATATTCAGATATTTCTTAAATTTTAGATACTAGCAGAAAGGTACATGCCAGCTGTCCAAGCAGCATAATTATTATTTAAACATGAAGAAATACACTACTAGCACATTATTACTTTTAATAGCAGAAGAACCTCGTAAAACTGCATTTACTTATTTCTCTCAAAATTTGAAGAATTAGTCCAAGTTCTTTATATCTGGAATTCTTAAAATTTTTTTCAAATCAACATACCTTTATAAACAAAGATCTTCAAACAATATACTGTATTCAATTTTCTCAAAATGCTGGGATTATTGGAAACAATAAATATACATGGCTAGAGAACATACTGATTACATAACATTAAAGGACAATAAGGAACTTCTAGGCCATTTAGGCAATCCTATTCACTAAATTAAACATTAAGAAACTCAAATATAAACAAGGTATCACATTATGAATACAAATATTTATCTTATAAAGCTGTCTTGTACTCACAAATACTATGAAACCAAAACTACAAGCACAAAATGACTTGAACCATTTTACAATGACATGGTTCATTGTATTTCATGAATGTAGTTTTCTCTTTTAACAGTTGTAAACAGGTACAATGAAGTGGATTTCTGTACAGTTTTAATTATAATACATATTTATATCCTCTCAAGATGGGTGAAAGTTATACAAAAGCACATTCTTTCAAATTTTTTTTTTTGTAATCTAGATGGAAAGATTAATATAAACACAGGGAATCAAAATATTCCAAGATAATGAAGGAAAATAAATCATTTAGAAATTTTGTTAATCCCTTTCAATATGATAAATCTCTACAAGCTTGTAAAATGAAGTTGAAAGAAGTTCCTTAATCTCTTATAACCTACAGCTAATGATTCCTGACTTATACTAATTTCTCTTCTTTCAGTTTATTCCACCCCTCTGCATAAAGTGTTTCTCTAAGTGGGGAGGAGGGAGGCATATCTTCATGTGATTATTGTCCCTACTCAGATAATAATTACCACCTATAATGTGGTACTACTTGTACTTTAACTCAGTAGTTCTTTACTAGATATTGATTTTTTTTAGCTTCTTTACAATTTATTAAATATTCTTTAACACTCCTGAATTTTTCTTTACTTTCATAAGTTATGAGGAACTTTCCTGAAAATCATCCACTATATACAGTAACCTGGCCCACTGAACATACACTGTGAAGGAAATCGGTGACTATAAATACATACATATACCAGAAGGAAGAGAGTGAAATATGCCAAAATACAATGATTTTTACAAAGTAGTGTTTGTTGATTGCATAGAAATGTGAAAAATACTGTGAAACTACAGCAATGATTGGTGACTATAAATACATACATATACCAGAAGGAAGAGAGTGAAATATGCCAAAATACAATGATTTTTACAAAGTAGTGTTTGTTGATTGCATAGAAATGTGAAAAATACTGTGAAACTACAGCAATGATTGGTCATGACTGACCTACTATGCATGGCACCATTCAAAGGTCATCAATTGGCTGATCTTTCAAAACATTAATAATAAACTGTACCAGACAACCAAGCTGATGGACATGTCTCACAAAAATAGCTATCATTACACAAAGGGTGGTGTTAAACCACAAAAAGAATAATCATTAAGACTGTTCACTTTTGGAAGAGCAGCATATATACACACAGCACAAGTCATCAGCTGAAACATGAAAGTGACTCAAATAGTGAAAAACTATATTAACGATTCTTTGCAAATTACACTTTTTGGTCATGATAATAAGTAGCTTTATTTTACACCAAACACTGTAAATTGTCAGAAGTAGCAGTAATGCTTTGTGTGTTCTAAAGATTCTGTGTACTTACTTACCTTCAATATTTCAATTCCTTTATGATTTCGTACTGCATAGTGTATTGGAGTTTGTCCTTGAGAGTCCTAAATAAAGAAAAATAACATTTAAGGCAACAAAGGATCGGTTGGTCCATCTAGTTTGCCCCATTCATTAAACTTAATAATAAAATTCACTCAACCCTTATAATTCAAAATATTTATCAAACCTTCCCTTAAACTCCTTATTCACTGCTCCCACAATACCTGAAGGCCAACTACCCTGTTAGAAAAATAGTTTTAGCTGAAGATGACTTCTCACCTGCCAAAATTTTTATCTGTATCCCCCTAGTCCTACCATTCCCACCATTAAGTATGAAAACAGATGATGCATTGATACTATCAATCTTCTTAAGAATCTTAAACACCTCAATCAGATTCCTCTCAAGTCTTCAATTTTTCAAGCAAAAACAATATCAGAGATCTCAAGCTGCTTTTGTATTTTCATCCTAAGTATCATACTAGTAGCATTCCTCTGAACCCTTTCCAACAATTCAATGTCCTTCCTAAGGATCTTTTTTGTGATCCTTTTTGAATAATCACTGTTTTGTGTATTCAAGTATACAATTTGAGGCCTAAGTGTGGAAAATAAAAATTGTATATAACTTATGAAAAACTTAAGCAGAGCAACTTAAATTATCATTCATTTCTGAACTCCATGCAAATACAGTCCTTAGTAATTTCAACTTTAATTAATTTATTTTGCCTAGATTATTTAAAAAGAGAAGCATTATTATTTAGCTTTATAGTATAATACATTTTATCATGCAAAGAATCATTAATTGTTCCTCTCAATAAGTAATGTCTTGAGATTAACAAAAAACTACTGTAAGTGAAATTTATCATAATGAATCAAACATTTATGAGGACATTCTTAACAAAATTGTATAACCTTTATCACATATGCATACAAGTTTAGATTACAGATGTACGTAAAAGGTTGTTTGTGTTTTTAATAACAATGTTAAATCACCTATGGCACACAAACATCCACCTTCTTGTTAGTCTTAAGTTTTTCTCTCATAGAAACAAATGCTGGAGCAGTTAATGATTATGAAGCCATAATATATTTGGATGTGAAAATATGTAATTTAAATCATATCCAGTGTTTCTTCTTTCTAAGATGTAGCCTGGTAGTTTTTCTTTTAAACTTGACAAGTTTTATAAGTCATCAAAATAATATGTATTAAATAATTACCAAAATAATAGTATGGACTTTAATGCAGTCAAACTTCCTTCCTGTTCATTGTTTTTGTCATGAATTAGAAATAAAATATACTTTTGATGATTAAGCACTGAGAGAAATTAAATCAATACTTAATATTCCATTAGTCTAATGTACATAAAATATGCATAACTGTCTACCTAAGCTAATACTTCTTGATGTAAATATGCTTTATGCAATCACATTGTACTGATGTCCAAAACATAAGTTAATCATCTGCTAAAAAAAGTTGATTCTGGAAACTGTATGCAGAAATCTGTAATAAACTCAGGCAGTAAAGGAAGACAAATGGCACAGGTGAACAATTAAAAACTTTAATCACATGCGATTATGTTTTTAACTGAACTGGTCAGTATTTATTTCTATTAAAACTAAAATTGGTGCTGGAGACATCTCCCAAAAACATCTGCACAAGACAAATACAGGAGCAACATTAATACATTTTCAAACCATACCAGGGTACTAGTGTGGTTTCCCACAATCCTTAGATTACCTATGTCAATTACTATTCCAAGTAACATGTATAACAGCAGAGAACCCTCCAACTCAAACCAAGTGTACAATTATTTGTGTCACACCTGAGAAAGGCTTGCTCCACCACAAGGTATATATATATACAGGAACAAACTGGTACTAGCTACTATAGGAAAGTCATTGTAGTATGTAACCTTTACCTAAACAAAATAAGTGTATTTCTAAAAACTTTGTAAATCCAGTTTAAAAAGATGACAATTATATACAGAACACCCCAGCAGGGAAATTTATAAGAATTATTTGAATGTAAATATATTCTATGTTAGTTATGAACGGGTGAAATGTGTTTTTTAATATTTACTTCTAAATTAAGAAATTAACTCGTGTATGATACTAAGATTTGAATAATAATCTACAATTTAATTACAAACTTTTTGACATAAATTCATAAAATAGTAGTTCAATAAAATTGTGAATGCAAGTCAACAAATGCAATGACATGGCCTTTGAACTGTGACCCATGTTGATAGGGTTAAACATAAGACAATCTTTTACATATACCTTGTGAAAAAAGAAAATGTGTTAGTTTATAGACAGGACAAACATGACACAAACACTATGAGTGAACAAGAGAACACCTAAACTATATTTAATTGCAGAATCAAGATATATTTACAGACACACATTTCACCAACAAGCACAAAATTAAGGATGTTTTGATTATGGGACTTTATTACCTATACCTTTAAAAGATATTTGCAAAAGAAAATGACTAGGAATTGGTAAACCTATAACCCTCTGGTTTAAATGAATGTTTTTCTTTCTTACAGAATTTAACTTTTTATGGAATTCTTAAATTCTATTTTTGACTTTATCTCTTTCTTCATTCCTGTATTTTTTAACAGAATACCTCACTTTCTTTTTTCTCTAACATTATGGCTTGAATAATGTTTATATAACAGGTGTAAGTGTTAAAGGTTTCATAAGTCAATGTTCAAAATGCTGCACATGAAATTTCATATTTAGCATTTTTGTTCTAAGCTTTACGACTTGATGAACAATGCCAGCTCAAAAATCATCCTCTAGAAATAATGATTTAAAAAGATTTTGCCTATTTGTATTTTGTACTTATGGTTAAGTTGCTATAGATATCTAACAGTATCCTAAAGGGAAGGCAGCAACTCAATAGCACCTACTCTTATAATGCATAACACCTTAACGTGTGGAAAATATTTTATGGTATCCCACATATTCTAACCTGTCTCACCAGCTTCAAAATCCATAGCTCTACCACAGCAAATCATGCCCTTAGGAATCTTTAACATATTAATTACCTTGAATAAAATTACTGAAAAATAATGTTTTAGTTTTGATCACTCAACCTTAAAAATATTAGAAATGGCCAAATATTTTTAAAATAGGCATTATCTCCCACTATATGTTAAAATCATTTGTCTCTAACACGCTTTGGGTTGAGTCCAGCCTGAATTATGCTCATGTAGGCTTGAAGAAAACCAAAATTAGCTATGCACTTTGGGTAGGGAAGATTATTGCCAAAGCTGTATGTAAGCGTTAATGGTTGATATATTTTTTGTCAGAGAAGGAAGCAGACATACGTGTTACATATTGTTTAACTTTTAATAAATTGTACTGATTTTAACTTTAGCCATACAACCCTACTTAAAAGTTGCATTTTTATTTAGTGCAGAAGTGTAATTTATGCTTACAGGGAGTTTATACTTATCTAATTTTGAACATTAAACCTATCAGGACTTTATCATTAAACTACACTTATGAATGCAATATAAATAGGGCTTGTCTAACATAACAAAATGTACCTTTCTTAAATGAACTGAAATCATACAGCTAAATAATAAAGACACATGTTCCACAAAAAGTAATGGTTTTGTGACTGTTAATGGTTGCGTATTTTATTCATAATAGGTTCTTTTATTTCTTCTTAATATATGGTAAACAGTGAAATGGCTGGTAAAACATTTCCCCAAATACATGTAAAAGAATAACAATTAGCTGTTAAAAGAAAAAAAATTTTGAACATCAGAGACTATGGAGATAGAATCAGATTAGAGAAAAAAATATAAAATAACATCGAATAAGCAAGATGGAATCCACAATAGCCACAGCACTTGAAATTCTTTTAGGCAGGATTAGAGTAAATTAATCTGAGAAACCTTTTTTTCTTTTTATTAATTTTATTTTTGTGTGCCAGCAATACCAAGTGTGGAGCACAAGTATACACAATTTGATTTTATTACTCATCAGGATCTCTACCAGCTTACCCTCAAATTGGAATTCTTTTAGTCAGGATTGAAGTAAATTAATCTATGAGACCTTAGGCATGGTCAAATACATCAATCAAAGGGTTTGACCTCCAGAGTCTTAAACTGTAATTAGATACCAAATGGGTCAAGAAATGGAGCAATGAACTAAAAGTTTTTACTTGAAAAACTCAAGAGCCATTCTAAAAGTAGCTATGCCACAGAAATGTTTTATAAAGGAATAATTAATAAATGTGAATTAGAAACAGACATTATATTCTATTAAACAAAACAGAAAATGTAGGAGTGAAGCAAGCGGAGGTGCCTAGTAGTTATATAAAAAGTTGTTTCTTAAAATTTCTATTACACTTACAATGTCATTAGCACATGATTAAGCATTTTAATATTACCAGAAATCTATTCTTTCATTCTTTATATATTGCTCCCATAGAATTTTGATTTGTTTCAAAAGTAAACAGCCTGTAGTGGTTCATAATACATATATTTTAAGATTTTAATAATTCATATAAATTTAGTGTTAAGTACTGCATACCTGACATGTTAAAAGTGCCTTCTTTTCCAGAAGAAGTCTGATTGTGGTACAGTTATCAACCACACCATTTTGGTCGGACTTCTCTTTTTCATTCTTGTGTTTGGCACCATGATTCAAAACTGCATAGTGTAAGGGTGTCTGACCTAATAGTAACAGACATGTGATTGTAAGAAATATAATGTCCTGCATAATAAGATCTAAATGGAATAACGAAATCCATAACATTATCTTCTGAGAACAATAAAGGCTGTATTCAGTAGAGCTGTACACACCTTAGAATTGAATATGACATAATATATATATATATATATATATATACACACACACACACACACACACACACACACACACACACACACACATACATACT